GGTAGAGATAGGCACGTTCAAAATTTTTTCAATTGTAATACTGTAGAATGCAACATATAATCTTTTTTTTTCTAGACCTTCAATATTTTTCTTTTATGTTGTAATCTTGTCATCCTTTCTATTGCATTTTTCCGTGATTGCTTCACGTTTTCATAAGTAATATATAGTTTGTGACAGTGACACTTCAAGCACAAGCACTACAAAAAGAGACGTTTAGGGGTAATTGAGTTAATGTGATTGCATCTAATTTCACTAAAACCTTTAATGGCATTTATATAGGATATTGGTTATAAATACTCATATTTATTAAATTTTGCCATTAAATACAATATAGTGGCAAAATATGTTATTGCCACATAGTCATTTATTTTTTATAGTGATGCTATTTTTAAGGACTCATGGCTGGTGTCTTCTTGTCTTCCATTCATTATTTAGGTATGGTGAAGATCATTATGTTAAATTTTAGGAAAGAATATCTATTACATATAGTGTGAGCTATTTATAAGACTCAATGAATACATAAACTTGTTGTGAAAAAAGCATATTGATGTTGATAATACTTACCTTTATTGATTTGTTATACTATCAACAACAACAATAGTATACCTAGTGAAATCCCCTAAGTGGTATCTGGCAAGGTTACATTGTATGCAAACCTTATCACTATCTCGTGGAACTAGATAGTTTTTTTTTCTAAAGACCCTTGGTGTCGAATTTGATCTATTGTTATTTGAAAGAGATGACACCATTCTTGTTGATGAATTTTTTTTAAAAAAACTTAATAAAGGATAGGTAATAAACAAGAACAGAACAAGCAATTGACAAAGTTTTTAAAGGTGACCTAAATTTAATGTTTTGCATGAAATGATAAAATTCAACATTCAAGAAAATTATTAAAAGAAAACCTAAGCTTGCAAATATGATTAAAAGAACTGATTAAAATGCAATCATGAATCTACGGGGAAGAAGTATCAACATCCTTGTCTCAGTTGTTGTTTCCATTTCCTCTCACAACAATTAGTCTTTTTGTTTTTTTTTATACTTGAATCTTCATTTTCTAAATGATTCATATTTGGTCTTCTTCAGTTGGACGATTCCAAAAATATTCATCTTCAATTGGTGAGATCCTGAAAGTACACTGTGGAATGGAATGAAATTTGGTGAGATAAAAAAATAAGTTTAGAAATTTATTTTATTTTGTCAAATATCAAAGTATCAAAAGTAAATAAAAAAATAAACTATTGTTGAATATTATTAGAAACTTGTTACAAATACATGACGTAGATAAACAAAAGCTTTATACGAAATACCTTATAAATGTTATTGATGGAATGAAATTTGATACTTCTCGACATTCCTTGTGTGATATGATAGTTTCCACTATTTTCATCTTTTGCCAAAAGTCTCGAGCCGTAGTTAATATTTTCATTTCTAATGTGATCAGAATTATCTGGGATATCATCTTCGCATGTAATTATGTTGATATTTGGCTTACCTGAAAATTTTATGTGACATTGCATGATATATGTGAAACAAATTATAAGTTCAAAAAGTAAGGTTGCAACATCAATTTAATGACTGTATTTTAGGCTACCAATGTGCTATGTGCCATTTAGGGGAAGATTTTAAATTACCATGCGCTCATCGATTTAAATTAGGATAATTTTCTACTTTCGATGAAAAAAAATTAAAAAAATTAAAATAAATTTAATTTAAAAGTTGTAAAATTCCTTAACTACCATCAATAATTTCTTCTTGTCGTTCGTCAAGAAGTTCCTCCACAAAAGAATCCTTTTGATCCCGTCTTATGTTGCTTTCATTATGTTCTTTAAATTTCTCACTTTCTAATTCCTGTAAATCCTTATTTTTTCTTAATAAACAATAGGAAATAGAAAAGTATATTGTGAATTATAACAAATGTGCTGAATAAAAGATTTTTAAATAGATGTATCTGTTGAAAAATTACCTCGCCATCAAGAAGGAGAGGATACAAACACGTATTGATAGTGTTATTTTCTATTTGGGTAGAACTATAATGGTTATCTTCACCAAGGATCTCAAACTCAGCTGAAAATCATTAATAATCAAATGAAAGATATTTAATAGTATAAGTAGTTTATGAGTTGTTAAATAAACTAATAAATTATGTACCATGAATAATTTGTCGTTCATGATTGTCTGCATCCTTCCTCTCTTTCATGGAAAGTTGTGAATTGCTTTCCTTGTTCCCTTGAATCAAATAGTTAAAATTTTATTTTGCTAAATAAGAGTTACTAATGATACATTGAAATTAATTCTTAGACTACTAATACACCAATTAATTTTATAAAATTTAATTCATAATAAGATTAAAATTTTAAAAAAAAAGGCATTATTTATCTTTTAATTTATTAAAGTGAACAAGGACAATAATAATAAACATAAATCAGTTATAAGATGTTGAAGTAATTATGTACGTACTATAAATAAGTTTTTCCTTTTGCTTGTTCTCTAGTATATTCTTGTAAGAGTCCCCTTGGTCCTCTCCAGAGGATTTCTTATTCTTCTTGGCATCTTATTTCTTTTTATTTTCTTCTACAAGAATATTGGGCATATACTAGTGAATGAAAACCAAAAGGCAAGATCAACTAATTAATCTAATTGACAAATCATGCTCGCAAAAAAGTAAGATCTTCCCTCCACATAAAGAGTATAAAGTTGAAAGCCTAATGAGATTTAGAAGTCACAAACAAAATATAGTTAATTTATTATACACATATGCCGTTGACGCTATATACACTTTATCCTAATCATAACCGTATCTATAGACTCTATTTCATAAAGTAAAACTTATTTGAAATAAATAGAAATAGATATTACCTACAGATTTTAGAAATAAAACAACACTTTTGGATTTGAGAGCACATAGGAATGATTTTAAGGGATTAAGAAAGCATCATCCTTCGATGACTCTTGTTCTATGATCGAGATAAAAGTCTCGTTCTATGATTCGAAGGTATAATTGACTGAATGCATGTGGAAAAATTGAAGTAAGTCTTATTGTTTTTAAATGAGATTGTTCATACATATCCATACACAACAACAAAACCAACATATCTGATGTCATCCCACAAATAGGATTTGAAAAGGGTGAGATATACACAAACTAGGGTTTGAAAAGAGGAAGATGTACACAACTTTTACTATAAATTTTTTGGGGTTGAGATTTTTTTTCTATATTCCATAGACAAAAGAACTGAAATTGGATTGCAAGAAGGAGAAATAAAATCAATCAATCTTGTTGATTATAGGTTTTAAAATTTATTAGAGATGGTCCGTAAATAAACAACATGACATTTGCTAAAATGAACTGTAAATTTAAAAATTAACACAAGGCATAAAAAATTGAGAAACAAAACAATATCTTAATTGAATCAAACTTACCATCACGTAATTCGATTCTCTTATGCAAGAAAATAAAAAGAAAAAATGAATTGATTAGAATGAACGAGTGAATCAATACTGTCTCAATCACATTTACATGTTCCTCTTTATTAATCCCTTTAAAAAAATTGAAGTAAGTGAAGAAGCAAACCTGTATTGATTCAAGTGTCTTATCTTGACTGCTTATATACTTTTTCAAAAACTAAAATTAAAATAGAGAAGTGAACATACATCTTACCTTTTATATGTACAATCTAGATTGCTGAGTTTTTTCTTGAAAAATATGTTTTTTCAATTTTGGAAAATTTATTTTTTTTCCATAAAAGGTAAGATAAATTTAAAGTGCAAAGGTGTGAACAGAGTAGAGTTTTAAATCAATTATTGTGAAGACTTTTATTATTTTGCTAATAGTGATATTTTAAAATTAATTGAGAAATTTATTTAAAATCATTTATTTCTTTTACCTTTGTCATTCATTATACTTTGTATTGTGTATTATAAGGAAAATACATGACTATTGGTTTTATGTCTTTGACCAAATAAATTTGAATAGTTTTCATAAAGTAGGTCAAATATCATATTTAATACAAACCATCAGAATCACTAGAAAATTGATATTGGACTTGAAATTATTGTTGAGGTAATGATAGTTTTCTTCCAAAAGATAATTGTTATCTTGACTTAAAATTAAAGTATTTTGAATTTATGTTGGAATGGAACACTCCATATCTCTTTTCTTTAAACTTGTTTAGATTATGAAATTCACAAACAATATATGTGTAGTTGTTTCTATAATCATATAGAATACATTAATGTAAAATAAAAAATAAATTTTAAATTAAATGAAAAATATTCACTTTTTCCTGCAATTTGATAAAAGAATAATTTATGGGTAATTGAAATTAAAAATTAGTTGTTCTGTCTTATGTGTTTATATGTCTCCACTTAATTGTTTAGCTATTCCCTTTAAGAGTAATACCTTCAAGATATTTAGTAAAGAAATTCAAAAAATTGTTGAAGATAAAAATTTATTCTTGTGTGGGAGACAAATAAAGTATAAATATTAGAAAAAATAAGTCTACTTATAAAATATAATTTTTCAATGAATGCAATTAAATTGAAATCCTTCCAAACAGATAGTTTCTTCATTGCTTTAAAAACAACAATCATCAAGTTTTACAATTTAAAAAAGAAACGATATGAAGAGATAAAAGTTCTAAGTAGCACGATTCAAAAATTGGGTGTGATGAAATTTGCCTTATCCAACTAACACAGGTCAATGGAAACAATCATTGACAAGGGTAAATACAAAAGTAAGAAAGGAAATAAGGACTAAACATAACATAAAAATTTCGAAAATAATAACATAACAAAACATAATTTCACGTATACAAGACACTAGATAAATATACAATTTTTTATAAATGAACAAGTTTGAATGTCTACATTCCTAGAATGGTGGAAAGACATAGTCAATAGTAAGTAACACCTTCAGCGAGGTGGTACCTCACAAAGTCCTCAAAATCAAGCCACGAACACTGATGCAAGAGGAGGATCAAATTGAACGGGGCACATAAACTAATAAGTGTAGAAAACAAGGGAGTGAGTGACGAGTGGTGGATTTCCACTCATTTAAATAACAATCATTATTGTTGGGACCCCTCTCTGTCTAGGATTATTGCGTACAAGATGGATACATAATTGATGTAAGTCTTATTGTTTTTAAATGAGATTGTTCATACATATCCATACACAACAACAAAAGCAACATATCTGATGTCATCCCACAAATAGGATTTGAAAAGGGTGAGATATACACAAACTAGGGTTTGAAAAGAGGAAGATTTACAAAAACATCTTGTTGTGATTGTGAGAAGAGGGGTCCCAACAATAATGATTCACATGAATTTCATAAGGCAGTAGTTTTGAAATCCATTTTAGTGTCCCATAAACTTCAAAAAACTACTCCCCCATAAAATCAATTACTCTAATCAATTTTTGGACAAGAATTCCATTCAAGTATTTATTAAACTCAAGGTATGTCTTCTTCCCCCTTTCTTCATCTTTTCTTGAAATTGTTGAGTTATTTATAAAAGGGTAGATTCTAACCCTTAGTTTTTTTAAATCATGATTGGCGTTGAAAACATTATTGTGTAGAGAATTATTTTAGTTTAATGTCCTATAATGGGTGTTAATTGAATAAGGATGAATTTGAGGCTTCAAATCCTTTATAAATGCCATGAGAACAGGTTACAACTTGTTTAATGCAATGCCAAAGTGAAAAATATTTTCTAGGCTGAAGTTTTCTATGCGATCATGGTCTCATCCCGTGATCACGATATCACATCCCACAATCACGCCATATTAAAATTTTAAATTCCATGATTGTGATATCTAATCTTGCAATTACAATGACACTAAAGGTTGATGATCATGATCACAACGTCTTATCCCGTGATTGCAATGAGTCGTGTGCTTCGTATTGAAAACTACCAAAAATAGTAACTTTTCCTCTATTGACTCGATTCTTTTTTAACTCATTTCATTGACCTAATTTCTTTATCATACATTTATTTACCTGCCATAGCATTAATTTTACATGCTTGTATCTTCTATAGGTATGCTTTCTGCAAAAGCATGGACTACGACAACGTCAACCAAATGGAGGAAAAAATGGAAGAAAATATCATGGGAGAGGAAATTTTTAGTCATGAGCTTTTAATGTTCGCTAAATTCAGCGATTGGATGTCCACCTCCACAAAAGAATATCATAAAGGAGAGTGGTCCTCTTATAAAACGTCTCCATGGGAACATCATACTTCTATGGGAGATTCGAGGCCAGTGAATAGATGTGTTTTGTTTTAAACTAGACAAGGTTAAACACATGGTGGATCAAGATTTCTATGACAATATTGCCGAAGGTAATTTTTCTAGTGACTTGGTAGTCATGATCTGGGCAACCAAGTTTGTTTTCACTTCATGAGGATCAATAATTATTATTGTATTAATGATGTTAATAATGATATTCACATGACAAGTACAACGGAAGAGGGCCAATGGTTGTTTGTGAGATACTTGCATGGTGGTCATATGCCTAAATGGATTAAGAACAACTAGTGGATTCATTCCTCAAAATTCAAAGCTAAAGACAAAAACTTGGGTGTCCGTCATTTTAATTCGGGTGATACCAATTTTTCTCTTTATTAGGAGCTTTTGACTTTTCCCATCACAGATGGGATTCCTATTAATGTTGGGTGGATCATTGTGCAACACATTCAGTGTAAAAACAATAAATAATAGACCAAGATTAACATGTCGATACATCATTGCCTAATTACTAATATATGTTTTATTATCATTTTGAGGATTTAAAATTTTGCGATAATTACAACATTGCTTATGTAAGACCCCAAAAATGACCTAGGTTATCTAGATACTAACATGTAAGTATTGATTTTCTAAGTTCCTAAATATGACTAAAATATAGTATATAGGCTGTAGCGAAAATATTAGAAGTGTTGGAACTCAAACGTAGAGGGACGACCAAGACGTTCGATGACTAAGTCACCTAAATGTCTAAAATGTGGTTGTATGTGTTTATGTGTATTTCATGGTGTTTTAAGGTTCTTACTTGACTTAATACAGTATATATAGTCAGTGGTTGAAGTTTCGTGAAGTTTAAAGGTTAAACAACCCAGAACGTCCAAGGCTTTCGAAAGATATGCCTTGAGTCGACCTTGTACGTCTAGGCGATTTTCATCATGTTTTACGTGTTAGTTTTGGATTAAATTCATTTGAGAGATGTTACACATATATACGGTCGTATTTGGGTTGGAAACGTTTGGGAAATTTACCCCAAAGACCATCTAATAGTCCTTGAGGAAGGACCAAAAATTAGTGTGCAGGCTGTCCCATGCAGACCTTGCCGACGGAGAAGTCAACTGCACGTCGTGTCTGTGATGCCCCTTGAAATGGTCCCGTAGTGAGGAGTTAGACAAGGGTGAAGAGAGGAATCTTGAACAGCTATTTTAGCCAACGACGGAGGGCTGTGACGCCACGTCATGACTGTGACGGCCTGTCAAGGGCAGGCATCGCACACAACTGCCTTCTTGCGCACACTGCTGCCAATTCAAGGGGTGATTTGGTAAATTCACCCCACTTGTAAAATAAGTCACGGAAGGTTTATTAAGGGTATCTTCGATGTTTTAATTAAATATGTAAAGGGTTATCACATGGAAAGTAGTTATGGAACCTTTTTACGTGAACCTTCTTTGGTTGTGTAAATGTGATTGGGTTACGAACTAGTTATGGAATTATTTTATGTGAACCTAATGTATGAACTAATTTATGAGAACGAAGGCTAGCACCGTGTGTGTCTGGTAAGGGAATGTAGTTCTAGTTAAGTATGAGACTAGAATACAAAGAAGCCTTTCATATTCCTTAACAATGTGCCTACATGGGATGTGTCAAAGTTGTACCATTGGAAAGTAGAACAACATCATCAGAGTAGGATAGAACTCCGGATTTCATGTCTTGCTATCATGGTCTATGTCGGTTATTGCCTGTTCTCATCATATGCAATACCCATTAGCATTTCAGGAGTTTATGGAGTTTAGATGGTAGTATGGGACGCTACGTAGACATTTCACAATAGACTTTGAAGGTGTTATATAGATTTACTAGGTCTTCTACAAGACCATTATGTGAATGTCCTTTATGTTATGTTTGATTCTTAATGAACTAAGGAACTAATGACTTATGTTACGGAGTATGTAAATAAATGAGTACCTAATGTAATGTCACTTAAGGATTTCTTAGCTAAAGTGTGAAGAGGGAATAGGAGATGATCTTTTTATGTCTTCTCTTTGGAAGGATTGAGTATGAATCTTGTTAGGGAAGTAGGTTTATTTTGTGGGCATTATCTAAGTCTTAGGTAGTCTGGAGGACTATTTAGGAAATCTTGAAGAGGTCTCTATGGACGTTATGTTCTTGATTTACTTAAGTAGGACTTTTGATAGTCTTTGGGAATAGAATGTCATATTATCTATGTGTTGGTGATTTAAGTGAGCATGATCCTATCTTAGGGAGTCTATTGGATCTCTTAAGTATGTGTGTAAGGGATTGTACGGGCGGTCGCTTCACAACTAACTTAAGTGAGACTTAGAATTCACCTTTGGTAGAAGAATCTCACCTTGATGTTTATGATTTCTTTGTAAGTATGTATTTGAATCATTAAAGGTAATCTTAAGGGTCGTTTAGGCACATCTAGAGAGGCCGTATAAGCGGTCTCTCTTTGTGTGACTTAAGTGAATCTTAGGATGACATTAAGTGGGGAAATTACATGCTAGAAGTATCTTATGTGTTTCTAAATTTATTTATGATGTTATTATTATTATAATATGATTTTAAATGAAAAGATACATATTTCCAATACAGTCCATTTTCATGATTTATATGCATAAGCCATACTTAGTACATGTGGTTCTACTAATTCCATGATTTTATCTAGCTATAAAGTTCTTGGTAGGTGAGTAGCTTTGAGAAGTGAGGACTTAGACTTAAAAGATTATTCAAGAGAAGTTGAAGTATGTCCTACTTGACTTGAGGGCATATATATGTCTTTTATGTTTTCGTTCAAAGCATTGTAATAGACTAAGCATTTCTATATTTGTATTTTGAAGTATGGCCCGTGTCCCATGTTTTCTTGTGTCTTAAGATGATGACATTGAGACTTAGTATTTCCTATTACTTTTATATCAAAAAGATTTTGAAGAATATATTATGTTTTATAAAAAGTTTTAATTTCGCACTACTTTTCACTATGTACATGCAATGAAAAATATTAAAGGGCTTGTCTAAGAACTTCGAGTGTTCGACGACCCGTGCCACAGTCAAAGATTGTGCCCTAACTTCTAGGGAGTTTATTCGGGTTTTGAGAAAGCTTGGTATTAGAGCATAGGATTGTGAAAGTAGTATTAGCAATCAAGAAGTATCATCAAGTCACGTCTAGTAGATTCTTGACGATCGGGGTGAGTAACAATATATCTATGGATGAGAGGCTATAGAACGATAGAACTTACCTTCTTTTCTACCCCTACGTCGTGCGGTAAAGTAAATGTTATGATTATCCTTCTTATGAGTTTCCTTGTGTTTTCTTGGAGATGAATACTAGAAGGATGGCCGCTAGAAGGTTGAAAGAGGAGAGGGTGGATGAGGAGGTTCCCCCCCAAGCTTAGAAAGTAGAGCAAGTTCCTCGAGGTTGGCAATAAGTTCAAGGTGCTAAAGATGACCAAGTGCCTCCCGAAGGTGATCCTATACCAAATGTAGAAGGAGGTATTGAGGTTCCGGAGATGTCTATTAGGGAGATTAGAGAGGCTTTGATTGCTATCACCCAAGACGTGACTATGTAAGCTAATATGAATATGAGGCCTAGGGTTGTGGAGAGCACTATGACATCTAGGTTGAGAGATTCTGTGAGGATGAATCCTCCGATCTTTCTTTGCTCTAAGGTAAATAAGAATCCCCAAGAGTTTTTTGATATAGTGTACAAAATTTTCAGTGCTATGGGGGTTTCATCTAGGGAGAAGGCGGAGTTGAATTCGTACCAATTGAGGGATGTTTCTCAAATTTGCTACACTCAATGAAAGGATAATAGGCCAGAAGGATTGGGTCCTATTGAATGGGAAGAATTTAAAGAAGCTTTTCATGGTATGTAGTTTCTCCGGGAGAGGAGAGAAATTAAGATGGAGGAGTTTATCAATCTAAAGAAAGGCAATATGAGTGTTGCGGAGTACTCTTTGAAATTCTCAACTTTGTCCAGGTATGCCCCTTCTCTTTTGTCCAATCCCAGAGATAAAATGATTTGTTTTGTGACGGGGGTAGCCGATTTAGTGGTGGAAGAGTGTCATACAACTATGTTGCATAATGATATGACCCTAGCTAGACTCTTGGTGTATGCCCAATCAATTTAAAAGTCTAAACACAGGAGGACGAGTAGAAGTTTTATAATGAGTTGTGCTAGTGATCAAGAGCAAACTAGGTTTAAGAAGAAGGTTCAATCTCAAGGAGAATCTAAAAGTGCTAAGTTCAAGGTTGATAAAGGAGGTGGTTTGAAGGATGGCAAGCGTACTTGGGCAAATTGTGGCAAGAAAAATTATGGTGAGTGTCTATTTACCGGGAGTCTCTTTTGTTGTGGTAAAGATGGGCACAAAATGAGAGATATTCCTATGATTGCTTCTAGAGGAAGAGAGGATAAGAAATTTTCTCCTAGTGTTCCAAAGGATTATGCTTCGACTAAGAGGCGTTTATATGCACTCCGTTATAGAGTGGAGAAGCCGGATCTAATGTAGAGTGATGATGATGTTGGTAAGTTCTCTTTCTTTGGTGAAGATATGAGTCCCTTCTAAGTGGGGGAGTATAGTTTGTAGATGGGATAGAAGTCCTTGAAATTGCTGCTTGTACATGATGTTTAGGAGTTTTGTTGAAATTGAATTTCATTAACTTCTTGCATTGTGTGTTTTATGAAGCCATGATTATGTCGTAAGATGTATTTATATGATGTTGCTTTGCATATTAGCATTTTTATATCATGAATTTCTTAAAAATGTGAATTTTTGAAAAATTGCTTAAAGAAAGTCATATTTTCCTTAAAAACTGCATGCTGTCATATTTTTAAGAAAATGACTAATTGATTCGTTTGCCAAAAAAAATTCTAATGTGGTTAGAACTAATGTATATGATTAGGGTATTGATTATAAAATGAGTTTTTACTATTTAAACTGAAGAATGTGAAGTTGATGTTTTCTTCTTGTAAAGGTGTTTTATGGTTTGCTTATGAGCTGCTAGTTGAGTCACTAATTTTGGAAGTGTTCGGAGAGTGGAAAGTTTCATTCGAAGGCGAATGTTTTCCAAGTGGGGGAGACTGTAAGACCCAAATAATGACCTAGCTTAACTTGGGCCTAACATGTTGGTATTGATTTTCTAAGGTCCTAAATATGTCTAAAATATAGTATATAGGCAGTAGCTAAAATATTAGAGGTGTTGGAAGTCAAACGTCAAGGGACGACCAAGACGTTCGACGACTAAGTCACCTAAATGTCTAAAATGTGGGTCTATGTTTTTAAGTGTGTTTCATGGTGTTTAAGGTCCTTAATTGAGTTAATATAGAATTTATAGGTAGTGGTTAAAGTTTCTTGAAGTTTGGAGGTCGAACGACAAAGAACGTCCAAGGCATTCGAAAGATATGCCTTGAGTCGACCTTTTACATCTAGACGAGTATCAAAAAGTTTTATGTGTTCGTTATGGATGAAATTCATGTGAAAGGTTTCAAACTTATAGAATATCGTATTTGGGTTGGAAACATCCGGAAAATTATCCCCAAGGATCATCTAAGAGTCCTTGAAGAAGGACCCAAAATTAGTATGCAGGCTGTACCTGGCAGAACTTAGAGTACGGCCCGTCGTGGCTGTGACGCCCAGTCAAAGGGTCCCGTGGTGAGGGAAGTAGAAAAGTGTGAATAGAGGAAGCTTGTAAAGCTACTTTAGCCAACGACGGTGGGCTTTGACGCCCCGTCGTGGTTGTGACGAACCGTCAAGGGCAGGCGTCGCACGCAACTGCCTTCCTGCGCAGGCTGCTGCCAAGTCAAGGGGTGAATTGGTAAATTCGCCCCACTTCTAAATTTAGTCATTGAAAGTTTATTAAGGGTCGTTTGGGTATTTTAATTAAATATATAAAAGGTATTAATATTGAAGACCGCATTCTTCAAAATCATAAACCCAAAACTCTTAGAAAATATTCCAAAACCTCCATTGAAGTCCAACTTGAAGAGGAAGGTAGGTGAGGGGTTTTCGTGTCTAAATTCTTCATCAAAGTGAAGAATTATCATCCTTGAGGTATGACTTTTGATCCTTGAAACTCGTATCACCAAGGAGCCTAACTCTCAACATATTTTTCAAAGTTTTCTAAAGTGAATTGCCCAATTTCATGATTCTACCATGGGTTCTTGCATAAATGATTTCTAAACATTGAATTATGATCTAATTGTTATTTTATTGATGATTTCAATATAAATTACCTATTAACCCATGAATTTGGATGAACCCTAATTTTTTACTATAATGTGGGTTACTTGATATTAAGCTAATATTGTTGAATTGTAATGTAGTTTCTTATGGGCTTTCTAATGATATTAGAATTGTATTCAATTGTTATATAATTTATCCTAGATGGTTAAACCTAAATTTAATTGACAGAGATTTCATTGGATTTTATGATTATTGCTTGAATTGTTTGTTATGTCCATGGGTAAGGGCCTTGTGATGTTGAATTGGACGACTTAGCATTGAATTGAAGTGTGAATAAGGGGATGAAGGTATGCTGCCCGGAATTCTTTAATTTTATATTAATTTTACTTCTATTCTATTGTGATTGATATGGTCAAATTATGGTGGCGGTGTTATGTGTTTTACTTGTAATTGACGTGGCCTTATCGGCGTTACTTTATGCAATATTTTGAGCATGGCCTTATTGGAAACTACTTGAAGTTATGTGGCTATTTGTGTAGTTTTATTATGTGAAGCATGGTGCTATCTATCTACATGTTAAGTTATATAGTAATATATGTATTCTTCTAGTTATGTTGCCTTAAGTGATCATGTTAGACTTTGACTTGCCATTATCAGTATAGTGTTAGGTTAAGTCTTGGTTATTTCTATTTGACTTTATGAGTCTATGTGTAGTACATTTATGATGTTTATATGATATATAGATTACTTGAAATTGTATAGTTGTTTTAGAGGTGTTTCTAGAATGACTTGTATTATGTGTTAAAATTGAAGTACGTGATGCCTTGTCTTGATTGACTTGTATATCATGCTTGATGAATATATGATTATGAATATGCGATGTCTTGCTATAGAGTGTTAGATATCTTAGCATTGAATGTATGATTTACATGTGAATTTAAAAGATGTTATGAGAGTCTCTTATGTGCAAACCTTGACTTAAGGGTAAGGTTAAGAATAAATTAAAGTGTAAGCCAAAATGGTATCCTTCAAAGTAAAGGAATGATGGAATTAAGGTTAGTTGGCTTGAACGACATCATATTAATCTTTAGGAAAGTCGTGATGAGATTTTTGTCGCCATTGTGAGGTAGCCCTAGTGGACTTTCTTTGGTAGGGTAAATGTGATTGGGTTATGAACTAGTTATGGAACACTTTTATGTGAACCTAATGTATTTTTTACTCTATGAGGACGAAGGCTAGCAGCGAGTGAGTATGGTAAGGGAAAGTAGTTCTGGTTAAGCATGAGACTACAATAAAAAAAAGATCTTCATATTCATTAACCATGTGCCTACATGGGATGTGTCCAATTATTACCATAGGCAAGTAGTAAAACCTCATCGAAATAGGATGGAACTTCAGATTCCATGTCTTTCTATCACGGTCTATGTCGGTTATTGCCTATTCTCAGTATATGGAATACCTATTAGCATTTGAGGAGTTTATGGAGTTTAGATGGTGGTATGGGACGCTATCTAGACATTGCACAATAGACTTTGAAGGAGTTATGTGGAGTTCCTAAGTCTTGTTCAAGACCATTATATAAATGTCTTTTATGTGATGTATTGGTCTTAATGAACTAAGGAACTAATCACTTATGTTAAGAAGTATGTAAATAAATGAGTACGTAATCTAAAGTGACTTAAGGATTTCTTAGCTAAAGTGTGAAGAGGGCATCAGTGATTATCTCTTCATGTCTAATCTTTGGAAGTCTTAAGTATGACTCTAGTAAGAGAAGTTAGTTGATTTTGTGGACATGATCTAATCCTTAGGTAGTCTTAAGGACTATTTAGGAAATCTTGAAGAGGTCACTATTGACGTTATGTTCTTGATTTACTTAAGTAGGTCTTTTGATAGCCTTTGGGAAGAGAATGTCATATCATCTACGTGTTGGTGATTTATGTGAGCATGATTCTATCTTAGGGAGTCTATTGGATCTCTTAAGTGTGTGTGTAATGTATTGTATGGGCGGTCGCTACTCGACTCACACAAGTGAGACTTAGAGTTCTTCTTTGGTAGTAGAATCTTACCTTGATGTTTATGATTGCTTTGTAAAGATGTATGTGAATCATTAAAGGTAATCTTAAGAATCGTTTAGGCACATCTAGAGAGCGTGTATGGGCGGTCTATCTTTGTGTTACTTAAGTAAATCTTAGGATTACTATAAGTGAGGAAATTACATGCTAGAAGTATCTTATGTGTTTCTAAATTGATTGATGATGTTATTATGATTATAAAATGATTTTATATGAAAAGAGGCATATTTCCAATAAAGTTTGTTTCATGATTATTATGCATAGGCCATACTTAGTACATGTGGTTGTACTAATTCCATGCTTTTATCTATCTATATTTTTTTTTGTAGGTGAGGAGCTTTGAGAAGTGAGGACTTGGACTTAGAAGATCTTTAAAGAGAAGTTGAAGTATGTCCTCACTTGATTCGAGGGCATATATATGAATTTTATGTTTTCATTTGAAGTATTATAATAGAATAAGTACTTCTATATTCATATTTTGAAGTATAGAACGTGTCCCAAGTATTCTTGTGTCTTAAGATGATGAGATTGACACTTAGTATTTCCTATTATTTTTATATGAAATAGATGAAGACTATAATAAGTTTCATGAAAATTTTTAATTCTGCACTACTTTTCACTATGTATATGCAATGAATGATATGAAAGGGCTTGTCTATGAACTCCGAGAGTTCGACGATGCCGTGCCACAATCCAAGATTGTGCCCTAACTTCTATGGTGTGGTTTTGAGTTGTGACAGCTTAAAATAAGTGTTAGCGTAAATTAAGGTATTGTATGGGGATATTTGCATAATTTTCTTATTGTATTTGCATATACACTGGAAATGTGAGAATAAGGTATATAAATAGTATATATATATATATATATATATATATATACACTTTTTGGGGAGCTAAGTGTTTATTTGGGTAGCCCCTTTTAGTGACATCTGACCATGTGATGAGGATCATTTCTGTAGCTATATATTTCACACCTTCTGTTGTGATTTTCGTCTCACTTGAAGAATAGTGACCTTAGGACATTACCTGACAATTTTTTCTTCAAACTCAAGAGATAAACTAGGTCCTTTTTTTGCTGGAATTCGAGACACACACTTCTTTTTGGTAAGTGATAAAAACCCTATTTCTTAGTTTAGTAGTGTTTTGTATTTTAAGCATATCTTGTCTTATAGAACTTCGTTTACAGTGAATAAATATGATTAGGAAAGATGCTTTTTAATTATGCAAATCTTCTGTTTATGAAAACTCTAATTTTGCTCTTATGGATTCGAAATATGCGACGAAACATAGGACCAGTTCTGTCCAGCTTTTGGAATTAGAAATCCTATATATTCAATTGCTAGTGTTTTGATTAGATCTTTTTGTACAAAACATATTTTGGGATTATTCTTGATTATTTTCAAGCTTAAGAGATCCACCTAGATATTTAATGCAGGTTATGAAGTCCAGTTATGCCATTTTCCTTTTTAAATCTAAGTTGTGAATTGAGATATTAGGATGGTCAGAGTAATTTTTCTGGGAGCATAGTCATATTTGTAGAGGATAAGAAAACTTGTGGTGATTATACTTTTTATTTAGACATTATTGATATAGTAGGAATTGAATAAGTTATTTAATTGTATTTTGAAGGTTGTATGTACTCGTGAACAAGTTGAGGACCTTCATACGTTGATTGGTATATGGTTTTAACTCTTCAAGTGATGTTGAACTTTTTATTGCCTAAAGAACTGAGGTTTGTGCATAAAATTGCAGTTGTACAGTTCTTACCTGCTGGTATATCTGAAAATTTATCGTGGTACCTTGGTTACCTCTTGGCACATTGCATTTTTGTATTATTGTCGTTTAAGACGTTAAAGAATCTTTTGTAACTTGCCAACCTCTGCGGATTGTTTCATCACTTAACACTTTTCTTGGGAACTTGTCTTTCTTCTGGGTGTGACTTTGTCACTATTGTAATGCCTCTTAATTCGGATCATTTTCCATCTTGACACAGGATATTTAGTTCTTCTTAAGTATGGGAGTTGTCCATTTTAAGCACGAACTAGAAAAAAACATTTGTTATGATTCTTGCTTCTCTTGATTATAGGGCTTTGAATCTTCTTGATCTAGGGCGTCGACCCTTCTTGAAACTTTCTCGTGCTTGGTGTGATGACATGATGTATATAATGGGTGAGTGTTGTTATTTCACCTCTTGGAAAATGGTGCTACGAGCGTTCATGCGATTTGGAGCTTTAAATATCCAACTTGATATTCTTTGTATATTGTTTGTTTAATTTACTGATTCTATTTCAATTGTGTTGCCTTTGACTTAAGATTGATAACTTGGTGAATCTGAGGGCTCTTGATCTTAGTTTTTACACCACTATGATTTATGCTTCGCGATACGTGTTTTTATCATAGGGAATGTTAGAGAAGATGCATGAAGCTTGCAATTGGAGATTTTGAGGGCCTTAAGGAAGATCACATTCGCATATAGGCATCTTTAACTTCTATAAACCTTGGGACTTGTACATAATCTATGTGTTGCATATTTACATTAAATTTTGAGGGATGATTTGGTCATGTCACCATGGGTTGTAACATAAGAACGGCTATACATTTTTATCTTTTGGGGTTTGTAAACCCATGTTTTGTAATATACTAATTTACTATATGTTCTGAACTGATTGATTTTGCTTCATAGAAGTTGGTATTATCCTTGTTATTTCCTCCTTATGTGTTAGGATAATAAATGCATGAAAATCTCATCGATTTTTTGTTTTACAGATTTTGGGAGGGTTTTTTTATTAGTTAGTATTCTCTGTGATAAAAACATTGACCTCAAATAAATGTTTAAATGGACAACATGCACATCCTCATCTAAATTATTCAAACGTAATCCCTCAACTAGATTAAAATCTGTATGCCTTCATTGATCTCTTTTAAATGTCGCAAATATTAAATTATGTCACTTGTCAAGTTGTAGTATCTCTCGGTAAGGGTCGCCGCAAGTGTTGGTAACAGAGCCTAGGTTTGTGGTTCTAGGTCTTTCGTTGTGAATTTCTTGTATAGTTGTTTTCTTTAGAAAAGGTTCTATTTATAGTCCACGTTTACTTACATGGTTTTCCATATCCTTATTGCATGTAGAGTGCACATGCATCATGTACATGTCCCTAATGGAATGTGATTTTCCCTTTTGAAGGAATTAAGTTATAAATACTTCTTCTTACCTAACTATGGAAGCTGCTTGTTAAGGTTTAGGTGTCTCTATTTCCTAACATCATGAAATGAAAGGGGTT